TGACCAATGGATTTAAGACTATGATAACATCTATGTTAAGCAAGGTAATGTCTAGAATGTTATAAATAACGTGAAAGATGTAGTTGAAAGGATCCCAAAAGTAAATAACACTAAAGATATGTGGTAAATTATAAACTAATTTGTTCTACTTAAAATGATGATATCATAAATATCTTCTCTTTTTCAAATCCCCTTTTTCTCTTCCTCTCGATTCAACCCGGATAGATATAAAGATCTAACAATGGGTTTTTAGTTCTTTGTGGCTTGAAATGACCAAATGCATACCTAAATGTATTGAGAGTTGTCTTAAGGAAATAAGTTTTAACTAGAGCTCAAAAATTAAGGAAAATATACATAGGATAATTTGAAGAAAAACAATTCAACATGTCTCAAAAAATTTGAAGACATGAGTTGACCAAAAAAATGTAAACTCTCTTGGTTAATAATGAAAAGGATAAGTATCTGAGATATGTAAATTCCTTATTTTATTTCATCTTTGTCGGGATTAGGTAAATCTCCCAAGCCATGTGTAATACGGTGGGAGAACTGACTTGGGTGTTTTGCGTTTGTTCGCAATTGTTGCAGTTAGCAAAAGTTGTCACCGAATTTTCTTTTATCCAATGAAGGAAAGGTTGAAAAGAACAGGAAAGACTTTTCGAGATTATTCTCTTGAGTTCGGGGGGTAAGTTATGAAAAGGGAAGGTGTTAGCACCCTTTTCATCCGTAGTTATCTACGGGATCTTAGTTGCTTGCTAGATCACTTGCTTTTGTTTGAAAATGTGCTTGTGGTGTGGGTTTTGAAAGTATTTTGAAAATGTCTTTGTAATGGTTCTCGTTTCTATAAGAACGCATACAAAGTGTTGTTTTTAAAATAGTTCAAAGAGGTGTTTGTGGAATATGTTTTTGAAAGTGATTTTGAAAAGTGTCTTTGTAATGGTTCTCGCCTCTATAAGAACGCGTACAAAAATCTTTGTCTTTTGAAAATGTTTCAAAATGAAAGTGTGGGTGTATAAAATGTTTTTGTTGTGAGCAAGCGAGAAACTAGAAGCATCCTACCTACTCAAAAGGTCTTAATGTTCTTTTCCTCCTCCTTTAGATGTTGCTATCTTACCATTGATTTGGTAAGAAACCCCATCATTGGATGTGAAGGAACAGACGTGGGACATTTGTATAGTCATAGAAGGTAACCTATAGGATGTTTTAGCAATGTCGTTTAGGGACTAGATCGTTTACCGAAGGCAACATTGAGGGTCATCGAGGGACTACGATCTTTTATCGAGGGTCTTTGCTAAAACGCCCATATTCGAGAGACATGACTATTTTTCCGAGGCAACAAGTGAGATTACCCTAAGGGTGCATGTGTGAATAATGTGTTTGATTTGCATGCATTTAGTCTTTGATTAGAGGTTGTCTACTTGTTGTTTTTATATTGCCATACATACCCTATTTTACTAACAATCATACAAAAGTAATAAAATGCAGAAAGATAAAATACTACACTATTACAACCATATTGAATAGCATGAAAATATAAAGGTAAAATAAATAAAATAAAGAGGAAAATGTGGCTCTTTCGATTCAGGCAGAAGAACTCTACGATTATGCTTCTTTGGTTCTTTTCGATTTGGACCTGGAGACAATAAGGTTATAACCTTTGATTTGGGCTTAATCTGAGGCATGAGGTGTAGCCTTTGATTCTGCCTTTCTGACTCCTTCAACTGGGGGTTGGAATCAGTGTAGGCGTGCCTTTCGACTGGGCCTGGAATCAGTGCAAGATGCAATCTACTTTTCTGCCTCCTTCGATTGGGCCTGGAGTCAGTGAGGAAGCCTGAGGCTTCGTTTCATACTCATGTCTCCTGTTTCTTTCGTTTGAGATATTAAATAGCAATATGGCCTAAGGCCATGCTAGCATTACCTTAGGTCCAGGTTAGTTATTAAAGCATTTGTAACAAACCAAAGAACAAAACCAAAAGGAGAGGCAATAAAAACAAACTAAAAGGGTGGAAACGAAAAGGAAGCTTATTTACATGTTATGCTGGAAATGAAGGGTCCAAGGTTAAGAATGACTTATCTTGCTTGAGGATAGGACGTGTGCTAGGCCTTTAAGTGGTTGTCTTGAATGCTTCTGGATTCGAAGGGAGAAACCAGGGGTTATGCCTTTGATACTAGATTCGAAAGAGAAGAACAAGTGTGAGGTTCTTCCTACTGGATTCGAAGGGTAACAATGTATATGGATGTTTCAGATTCGAAGGGGACAAGTGTTTGGATTCTGGGTTTGTGTTTGATGAGTGTTTAAGTATTTGAGAGCTTTATGGTGTTTGAGAATTTTTTGAAGATTCGTTCCTCTGGCTAAAAAGTCCTCTTAAACATGTGTTGGAGCCTCTTATTTATAAGAAAAGCAGGCTAAAGCTTTTGGAGGGAAAACAAAATAATTTGAACAATTTGAGTAAACTGCTCTTTGTAGCCTTCGAGGGACAGTGCTTGTATGCTATTTTGGTGCAAGAATAGGGCAGTATTTCAGGACTGCTGTGCAGCAGTTTTGGCCAGTGTACCATGCCTGAACTTGGCAACAAGCATCTTTGAATATTTCATCCTTTCATTTTGACCCTCTTTTCGACCAGATTCTTCTTTCAAACATATTGTTTGATTTTCCTCCAACAAGTGTCCTTCGAATGGATCACCTTTATGCATCCTTTGAAGGGGCCAAATGTGTGCCCCTTGGATGGGTCACCAAAACATGCCTTAAGGTGGGCTTTGTAAATCCTTCGAATGGACCCTCAAGCATGTCCTTCGAATGGGATGCCCAGACGTGTCCCTTGAATGGATCATGTATGCTTCTTTGAAAAGGGAAAAATGTCCTTCGAATGGATTAGTAAGGCGTACCCTTCGACAGGGACTCATATGTATGCCCCTCAAGTCCACCATTATATGTCTTTTGAAGAGGCCATCAACCATGTGCTGAAGTTTGTCAAGGATTGAAATGCATCATACTAAAGAGAAATGTTGTCCAGTTGAAGCTAGTACAAACATAGTCAATGTCCTGTCGAAGCCTGCATGCAGGAGGTCTAAAATTTGTGACTCCAAGCAAGCACACAAAAGGCCAATGCTCAAACGAAGACTTTCATGAAGGGAGCCACATGCCCAAACGAAAGAGGCATGCAGGAGGCAAAATGTCCAGATTCTAAAGAGGCATACAGGAGGAAAAAAAGTGAAAATCGAAGGATGCCAAAAGGGAGCTTTTTACCTTGTAATCGAAGGAAGTTATATGAGCCTTTGTACCTTGTGCATGCTAGCAAGGGGGATGCCTTTTGCGTTCAAGTTGTGGCTCAAACGAAAGTTTGTATGTAACTAGTCATTACTTTATGAGTCAAGGCAAGCATGGAGGGAAAGTTTGTATAGGCATGCAAGCATCAGACATCCAAACGAAACATGCATATAGGCAGTCATGGCATTGTGAAACTAGTGAGGCCAGAGATGCAATCGAAGGTGGCGTGTAGGAAACTCCTGCCTTGTAAATCAAAGTCAGCATGCCAGAGGCCAACGCCCAGTCAAAGGATGCAACCAAAGCCTGTATCAAAAGAGGCCAAAAGGTCAATCGAAGGAGCTGAATCGAAAAGACTTGTTTTTCTCCAATTTTGTCAAAAGATTATTTTTATCTGTTTTCCTCCTTTTTTGACAATTTCCTTTTCAACTTGGTACTGGAAAATCCAATCGTACTTGTGCAAACTTGAACTTTGAGAATCCTTGTGAGAAATGCCTTGAAAAATGAGAGGGAAAATTTTAGGGTACAACACCATGTTTGATAATCAACTTATGATTTTTAAATGAAATCAAGGATAAGTTGGAATAAGACATCTTTTTGGCAACAAAAATTAAGATATTGAATAAAATACCTAAAAATGATGACACACAAAAAGTGTTTAGAAATTTATAGCTAGGTGAAATTTGAAGTATGCCATTATGAAAAAAAAATGATGTAAAAATAACTTTCCTCAACGACATGTTGCAAAGGGCAAAACATATTGGAAAATTGTGTGTAGAAAGGTATTACCAATGTACGCACAATCATGCCGTTTGACAAAATGGTTCAAGAATTTTGAAATCAAGTAACTAGTAATTAAAATAAATGCAAAGACAAACCAATTTTACAAAAAAAAACATTTTAAAATGTCAATTCTAAAATAAATTCGAGAATTAATATTTTTAGAGGACATTTGTTGGCAGAAATGCCTACCTATTCAAAATATGCAAGATTTCAAATACAACACAAGATATTCTAAGAAGATTTAAAGAAGTTATGGATCAAAAAGGCATATCAAGTCGTCAAGAGAAGAAACATTGGAATATAAGTTTCTTTTAGTTGATTCCGAGTGGTTATTGACCATGTGACATTAATGCAAGAAATTGGTTATTTTCTTATATTTATAACTTAGGAAAGAAAACCCTATTATAAAGGGAGTTTTCATTTTTTCACTCAAAACCTAACCCGACTATAGATTACACATCTGCACACATAAAGGATAACAATCTCAAACTTAGTACGGTGAAGGAACAATGTGTGTTTCTCCCTAAATCTAACACATTGATCTTTCAATTCTTGTTTTTTCCATTACTGCATTTTTTTTGTATTTTCTTTTATCTTGCAATCCTTGTAATTAATTCAAATGTTACATAAAACTTAAACATCTAAATCTATCAACTACAAATTCAATAAGATCTAACTCGAATTCTAAATTAGTCTATCAAATTTAATTCTTAAAAATGAAACTTTTGCCATCAACAAAATTTTCTCACTACAAAACTTAATCTTCTAATGTATGCTATGAATAATGAATATTATACTACAACATATATATATATATATATATATATATATATATATATATATATATATATATATATATATATATATATATATATATATATATATATATATATATATTGGTAAATGAATCATTCATGCCAAGTTCTTCTAGAAGTTAGGAACAAATCAATTTCTTCTAGTAGTTGGGAACAATAGTGCCAACATATCCGAATGCCAGGATGAAGAAAGCAATCGCTTGAATGTATAGGAATATGAAGAATTGATTTTTCCCATACATAACATCATATGAACCACAAAATAGGAGGTAGAGTCCAACACAAAGTTCTGACATTCCAATCCTAATATAAACATAAAAATAAATCAAATACACAATTACTATATTTTTTTACTTATAATTATTGAGACCAAGTGGAATAATATTGTAAATTTTATTTTACCTGTCTCCAATGTTAAGTCGAATATTTTTGGAAACTTTAGCACCACCTTTAACCTTGAGAGTAGCTCCAAGTTTTTCAGTGACAACCCATTCATTCACTCTACTAGCCTCTAATAGACCAATAATTGTTGCCTTTGTTCGATGTAGAGACATGGTATTCTCAAAGAGAATCCAAAAGGAAACTAAATGGAATGACCTGGAAATTGAGAAACAAATTAAATAACTTCGGCAAGATAGAAATGGGTGACAGTGAAACCAAACATACAGTAATAAAAATAAAATAAAGAGAAAATAAAGTACGTATAACCTTGGTGTTCCAACAGATTTTAGAAGGGTGATGACAACAGGAATATAAACAGATCCCCATTTAGGGACAACAACTTCAGGCACCAAAACAGTTGCAGGTAACACAATGCAATAGAACACAAATGTATTGATGTGTGCCACAATCTTCCGAACAAAGAAAAAACTGTATAGAATATATA